CGGTAGGTGCCATGCCATCTTGCATGGCTGGTGCGGTGACCGGCGTGCTGTGTGTTGGGTGCACGCCGACAAGCTATTCTCCGTGTGGTGCTGCCGTGTGGGCTGGGGGCCCAAATGTGAACGCGGCAGAGGAGTGTCAACGGGAGTTGTGGTAGGCCCCGTCCTCGCTTGGGCGGAGCCGACCTCGTTGTCGGGTGTACGGGGGAGTGCAGCCAACCTGCAGTAGTGGGCAAGCTGGTCGACGAGGATGGTCGACCTGCGCGGTGGCCACAGCACGGGCGCCGACTTCTGGGCGCCGGTTTTGGGGTGGTCGACCAGGCGGCCGACCTAACCTGGTGGTCGACAAAGAGGGCGCCGACGTCGACCTGGATGGGGGAGCTGGGCGTCGAGTAGCAGGGCGTCGAGCAAGATGGCACCAGGCCAGTAGGTCGACCTGGGAGGACGCCGGGCGTCGACTAGCTGGAGCCGACATAGGGGACGCCGGTCACGGGTGGTCGGCAACGGACTGAGCTGGTCGACCGGGCGGGGTTGCCCGGGCGACCGGGATACCCGGGCGATGTGTGCGAAGGTCGCCAGGGTGGTTTTTGCCAGACCGACCTCGGAAGTGGTATTTCGAGGTCGACGTGGCTGGTGGGCGCGGTCGCTAGCGTGGAGTCGACCCGGGATCTGCGCTGTGCACGTGACAAGGAGTGGTGCACCAACCAGCTGCGCGCACCTGCGAAGCAGGTGTACCGTTGTTCTGCGGGTGCAACGCTGTGCAGCCGACTTGCTGCAGCGTTGGCACACCGTGGACTTGCAACGTTGGCAAGCCGCGACTTTGCCCTGCTGGAGCGCGGTCGACCAAGTCGTGCTGGCACGCGGTCGACCGTGTTGCGCTGGCAGTCGACCGACTTGCATGCTCATTCTGATGTAGTCTGTGTTGGCATTGTTGTATCAATCATTGTTGTGAAATCTTTTCCTGGTAAAACTCTTGCCAATTCTCCCCGTGAACAAGCAAGTAGTGAGCACACAAGGAAACGATTAAGTGAACGAATGCAGAGATCACTCTTGCCCGTGCCTAGCCCGTAATCTAGCTCCCGTTAATTAAGCTATCTCTGCAGCGTGTGCGCCTGCTGCTCGTGGGCCACGGCAGTGGGCGTGCGTAGCTCTGGCAGGGGGGCACGCGGCTCTGGCAGGGAGCGCGCGCTGCTCAAGCGGGGCGCGCGCGGCTCTGGCAGGGGACGCGAAGCCCTTGCACGGGCGGCTAGGAGGGGAGGGCGTAGGGGGTAGTAAGGGGGGGGGGGGGGGGGGGGGGGTGGGGGGGGTGTGCGTCCTACGCACGACGAACGGGAGGAGAGCCTAAGGGACAGGCGCCTCGGGAGAAGCTAAGGGAGGGAGCGGAAGCGTGGGAGGTAGGAATTGTTACCTACTCTAATACCATATTAGAATTGCATGAGTTTTGAAACCGAAAGCTAGAATAGTGAACCCCGTCCCAACTTGAAAGATTGTCGCGGAGCGAAAATGACACTAGGCTGATAAAACACTGTTTCAAACCTCTCTTTCATCGCCCTTTCTCTCTCCCGTCGCCCTTTCTCTCTCCTGTCGCCTTTCCTCCCTTCCGTCGCCCTTCATCTCTCCCGTCTCCCTCCATCTCTCCCGTCTCCCTTCATCTCTCTCGTCGCCCTTTCTCTCTCCCGCCGCCCTTCGTTTCTCCCCTCCCATCACCCACCTCGGCGCCTTCGCGCTCGCCCTGAAATGCCTGCCCGTCGCCCTTCTTCTCTCCCCTCCCATCACCCACCTCAACGCTCGAGCTCCACCTCACGTCACCTTCCCCAATGTCTCTCCCAACACTCTACTATTCGGCTATTTTCGCTCACTCAGCTCTCTCCGTGAGTTTTCTTTCCCTTTTTTTTATATCTAACTTGAAACTCTCTGTTTTTTCTTGCATTCTGGTTTTCCTATGTTGTTTTTGCCGCTCCAGCAAGCCCATATCTAAGGCGTTTGTTGTACGTGAATTGCACACGCAACACTTGTAGAAATTGGCACACGATGTGATTGGGATTTGCACGTCGCAAACTTGCAACGCATTTGCACATGCTTGCGACTGTTCTGTAGTTTTTTTTGTGAAGACTTGAACGTGTGTGAAAAACAAAACAGAACAACACATCGACTTCCAGAAGCTTCACAAAGTTAGTTTGGGATTTCGAGTGCACCCACTAGAAGGGGGGGGGGGGGGGGTTCACTATTTTAGCTGCGGGTTTTCGCGCACCCTCACCTACTGCCTATTTCAAATCCACATAACTTGAAAATTTACCATGCTGACCCCGGGCTTTAAAGAGTTGACGCGAGGGGGTTTTCCTGGTCTGGGGTTTGGCGAGTGATTCCGATTTAGTTTTCTTCGTTTTTTTCGCCAAACCCAGCCCCACCCTCGTATTTCGCCCTGGGGGTTGGACCAGTCTTTGAAAGTCCCACATTGCAGGTAGTTTTCAAAGCTTGCACACTCAATTCCTTCAAGTTTTAAAAGCTTGTCCCCCGCGCTCTGCAATTCGGGCCGCGGGCTTTAACCTAGGAAATGTTGTACCCTGAAATAACTGACAATATCTAACATTATAAACATTTGACAATGTTTCCTATCTGAAGAAGCTACGATAATAAAAGCAGATTACCGTAATCCCCCGTATATAGGACCCCCCCAGTTGTAGACCCCCGGGTCTATAATACGGACCCGGGTACTCTATTCGAGTACATCTGAGTTATACCCCCTAAATGGCTCCTAACATTATAAGACCCCCCCACATCAGGCCCTCAGATTCGTTTTTGGGCTGTCTGATTCGTCAGACTTAGTACACATTTTTAGTCTGATCAATCAGACTTGGTACAAAAAAAAAATCTGAAATTTCAGAGTTCAATCGTATAAAAGTCTGATAAACCAAAGTTCACATCAGTAGTGAAGCTGATTGATCAGCCTAAAACGGGGTGATAACTTCGCCGCAGTGCTGTTGTCAATGTTTCAGTGTGACCAGGGCTGACTATTCAAAAAAATCCAGTCTGATGTTCTGGGGGCTCTGAAATTTTTTAGTCTGAGGCATATTTCCCAGAGAATGGCCACTCTGATTTTTCAGGTTCCGCAAAAACACAAGTCTGAAGTACTCAGAACACACTACAACCACTGCAGTACAGTACTGCCACAAATGTAGCACGTGGGGCGCAACGCTAACCAGTTTCCCTCGCTGACACCGCGTAGCTGCAGTGATGGTCCCGCGTGAGTGGAAGAGTGAGCCAAGTTGGCAGATTTCTAAGGGAAAAGGGTGGCAAAAGTTGCCAAGGACAGATTCTGCGCGTGACAGCGCCATGAAGTGTGTTCGTACACTGGCAACATATGACGTAGCGGAATGTACGTAGAAATCACAGATCCGCATTTCAGGATCCGTACTCCCTGTAGTATGAAGACCCATTATCGGCTAAGTCAGTACTCTGAAAATCTCAGGATCCAAAACCAAGTAAGTCTGAGGCACTCATGTTTGAAAATCTTACAAGTCTGAAAAATCAGGATCCGTAGGAAAATACCCTGAGATTTCAGACAATCAGACTATTTTAGTCTGATAAAGTCAGCCCTGAGTGTGACTGACACGACAAATTTGTACTTCCAGCGCTAATCGCGGTTGTCAGGTCAGTAGGTACCCGCTAAAACGCTCTTGGGATCAGAGTACACTCTGAGAAAAAGTCTGAAATATCAGACAAGGCATAGAATTTTTTTCTGAATATTCAGAGTTCACAGCAAAAAAAACGCTGAACTTTCAGAGTTCACTAAATAAAAAAGGCTGAATATCAGAGTTTTTTAGGCAAATCAGAGAAATTTCTCTGACTTCTGGGGGCCTGCCCCACATCCTAGAGAAGTGAGGATTTTACAAAAATGCAACTGAAAATGGTCATATTCCGAAACAGGAGGGGGAAGTGAAGTCAGCCCGATGAACAAGGACGTGCCAGAATACAGTAGGGGTGTCTGGAAGATTCCGCCCTTTCCAGGACATTGCAGCCCGCACGAAGCGTGCATGGGGTGTGAAGGCCGAGCCGAGGCCATCAAACGGTGCCCTGCGCTGTCGTGTGAACACCAAGTGGTGTTGGTGGCCAATGGGAGGAGGCTCCCAGATAGGGTTCGTGATGACGTAGGTTCGGCACGTGTGGAGACCAATTCGAGTATTTTTGGGAGGAGCTAAAAACGGAGCATTCCAAATCACTTCTTTGAGCTCCAAAACTACATTCTTATAAATGTCAATATGAACAGACCCGGGTCTTCTAAAAATATATACCCTCCAGCCTTTTTAGGGGTGATTATCATAAGACCCTAGGGTCTTATATACGGAGGATTACGGTATAAACTCCAGCAGGCTCAACTACCACATGAAGATCAATGTGAAGAAAAGAACCCCAGTATGGATACACTATTTTCATTATTGCGAGTACGAATGGCAAGTCCAACGGCGTGGCATGTGTCATCATGTCCAACGTTGTTGGCAAGAATAGTTGCCTGGTTGACAGGGTGAGAACGGCAGCTTGTTTGGGGCTAGAATGGCTTCGGTTGTCAACACAAAAGGAGCTTTTCTTTGTGGAATCGCAAAATCAGCTTCAATCCACAATGCTCGAAACCCCACCTGCAAACGACACGCGCAGTGTATCAATCCATGTGAGTAGCACTATGGTTCTTTCCTTCTCTCTCAACAATCTCCTCCACGCAGAACATCCACAGGAAAATCAAACATGCTGGGTAAAGAATCACACCTAAAAAAACTGTCACACAATCACCTTGGGGAAGTCGCTCAGTCAGTCACCTTGTGACCCCTCACTATAGTCACCTTTGAAACACTGCAGTCACCTTGCGAAGCGCTTTCTTCAGAAGTTGAGAAAGTCACTGATGGTCACCCCTAATATATATATATATGTGTATATATATTAAAAAAAAAAACATAATAGTCACCTTGGGAACGCCGCTGATGGTGGAGCTGAAGTGCCACAAGCCATCCTCAGAGTGGTGCTTGGGCGGCGAGACGGTGTGCAGGAAGAATGGCGTGGCCTGCACACACAGGTCGAACTTGCCTGCATACGTGCCTGGCACCGTTGGCATGGGCGCCGTGCTGAGGAGGGGGAATGGGTTGGTGAGAGGGCGTGGGGGATGAAGGGAGAGATGTCAGCAGGTGCGGGGGGAAAATGACGTGGCCTGCACACACAGGTCGAACTTGCCTGCACACGTGCCCTGCACCATTAGCATCATGCTGCCAGCCGAGGGGGGGAGGAGGAGAGGGTGATGTGGTGTTGATAGGGTTGGGGGGATGAAGGGAGAGAAGGAAGCAGATGCAGAGGCAGATGGGGTTGGGCTGCACGAACAGGACATACCCCATACCACTCACCAACCCTTTGCACCACTCACCAACCCTTTGCACCACTCACCAACCCATTGCATCACTCACCAACCCTTTGCATCACTCACCATCCCTTTGCACCACTCCCCATCCCTTTGCACCACTCACCATTCCTTTCCACCACTCACCATCCATTTGCACCACTCACCATCCACTTGCACCACTCACCATCCACTTGCACCACTCACCATCCACTTGCACCACTCACCATCCATTTGCACCACTCACCATCCACTTGCACCACTCACCATCCACTTGCACCACTCACCATCAACTTGCACCACTCACCATCCATTTGCACCACTCACCATCCACTTGCACCACTCACCATCCACTTGCACCACTCACCATCAACTTGCACCACTCACCATCCATTTGCACCACTCACCATCCACTTGCACCACTCACCATCCACTTGCACCACTCACCATCCACTTGCACCACTCACCATCCATTTGCACCACTCACCATCCCTTGGAGCCTCGCTGCAGCACGAAGCGGAAGTCTCGGCGCTCGCTGGCTGTGCGGCCAGTCCTGGTGGGGGGAGGGGGAAGAGGGGAAGGGGAAATGGGGAAAGGGGGAATGGGGAAAGGGGGAATGGGGAAAGGGGGAATGGGGAAAGGGGAAGGGGACAGGGAATGGTGTGCGAGTTTTGGGTTGTTGAGGGTGGAGAGGGCTGAGTGAAGAGAAATACAGCCCAAAAGCCATAATGCACATCCGTAAATGTGATCCCACGTTATGTGTGATCCCATAAAACGTGCAATCCCATAAAACGTGCAATCCCATGAAACGTGCAATCCCATGAAACTTACAGAAGGCAGAACAAGAGGTTGACTGGCAGCAGCAGCCGTACACTCACCCATCTTCGCAATCGCTTCTTCCCTTCCAACCTCCTCCCCTCCCTCGCCCTTCCCCTCCCAATCCCCCTCCCCCTCCCCGTCCCCTTCCCCCTCCCCTTCCCCCTCCCCCTCTTCTCCCTCCCCTTCCCCCTTCCCCCTCCCCCTCTTCCCCTCACCCCCTCTCACCCGCTTCTGCTTTTTCTCACCCTGCCCCTTCCCCCTCCACTTTACTTATTCCCAACCCTCTACCCCTTGCCCTCCCCTGTTTCCCTCCACTTCCTGACCTCTCTGCTCCCCCTCCCCCTCACCATGCTCTAACCGCGAGCGGCTTCCTGTCTGACGTGGCATGAATGGTGAACGTGGACCAATCAAACCGCCACCTCAGCTTAGGCCAGTCGACAGCTGGCAGCTCCGGTATGCAGCCCCAGGGATGCGGTGGCTGCTCCTGATTGGTCAGCGCGTCACCTTCTGACCCTCCCACCCCCCCTTCTCCTGTCTGAGCCTCTGCCGTCTCCCTTTCGGCCGTTTCCCTTTCCTCCCGGGCAAACAGCCCCGTGCCCTCTGTTTTGTCGAAGCGCTTGCGGCGGCGGGGAGAAGGGGGGGCGTTGGAGGGGCGCGTCCAGGTGAGGGAGGGGCGGGAGGAGGCGGGGAGCGAGGCGCAGGAGGAGTTGACATGCAGGAGAGAGGCGAGGAAGGAAAGGGTTGCTTGGTTGGCCTGGAGTGTGGTTTGAAGAGGGGGGTTGGAGAGGGGGGTTGGAGAGGGGGGGTTGGAGAGGGGGGGTGGAGAGGGGGGGTGGAGAGGGGGGGGTGGAGAGGGGGGGTGGAGAGGGGGGGTGGAGAGGGGGGGTGGAGAGGGGGGGTGGAGAGGGGGGGTGGAGAGGGGGGGTGGAGAGGGGGGGTGGAGAGGGGGGGTGGAGAGGGGGGGTGGAGAGGGGGGGTGGAGAGGGGGGGTGGAGAGGGGGGGTGGAGAGGGGGGGTGGAGAGGGGGGGTGGAGAGGGGGGGTGGAGAGGGGGGGTGGAGAGGGGGGGTGGAGAGGGGGGGTGGAGAGGGGGGGTGGAGAGGGGGGGTGGAGAGGGGGGGTGGAGAGGGGGGGTGGAGAGGGGGGGTGGAGAGGGGGGGTGGAGAGGGGGGGTGGAGAGGGGGGGTGGAGAGGGGGGGTGGAGAGGGGGGGTGGAGAGGGGGGGTGGAGAGGGGGGGTGGAGAGGGGGGGTGGAGAGGGGGGGTGGAGAGGGGGGGTGGAGAGGGGGGGTGGAGAGGGGGGGTGGAGAGGGGGGGTGGAGAGGGGGGGTGGAGAGGGGGGGTGGAGAGGGGGGGTGGAGAGGGGGGGTGGAGAGGGGGGGTGGAGAGGGGGGGTGGAGAGGGGGGGTGGAGAGGGGGGGTGGAGAGGGGGGGTGGAGAGGGGGGGTGGAGAGGGGGGGTGGAGAGGGGGGGTGGAGAGGGGGGGTGGAGAGGGGGGGTGGAGAGGGGGGGTGGAGAGGGGGGGGTGGAGAGGGGGGGTGGAGAGGGGGGGTGGAGAGGGGGGGTGGAGAGGGGGGTGGAGAGGGGGGGTGGAGAGGGGGGGTGGAGAGGGGGGGTGGAGAGGGGGGGTGGAGAGGGGGGGTGGAGAGGGGGGGTGGAGAGGGGGGCGCTGAGGGTTTCGGGAAAGAGGGCATGGGGGAGTATGGGGGAAGTGTGATGTTGGCAATCAAGCTTGCATACATGAAATCGCACCTACACGTGCTCAGGAGGAGTTGGAGAGGAGGGAAAGGAAGGAAAGGTTGGCTCTCCAGGGGGAAGCGAGAGAGGATGTGCTCACCCAGCGGTTGACGCGGATCTGCATGTGCTCACCCATTGGTTCGCGTGGATCTGCATGTGCTCACCCATTGGTTCACGTGGATCTGCATGTGCTCACCCATTGGTTGACGCGGATCTGCATGTGCTCACCCATTGGTTGACGTGGATCTGCATGTGCTCACCCATTGGTTCGCGTGGATCTGCATGTGCTCACCCATTGGTTCACGTGGATCTGCATGTGCTCACCCATTGGTTCACGTGGATCTGCATGTGCTCACCCATTGGTTCACGTGGATCTGCATGTGCTCACCCATTGGTTCACGTGGATCTGCATGTGCTCACCCATTGGTTGACGTGGATCTGCATGTCCTCACCCATTGGTTGACGTGGATCTGCATGTGCTCCGAGTTGGCCATTATCTTGAGGAGCTTTGGCTCGGGCATGTCGTTCCACCAGATGTACCTGCCGGGGAGGGATGGAGGAGGTGGGAGAGTGGGGGGAACAAAGGCGGCAGGGGAGAATGGGCAGGTTGGGGAGAATGGCAGGTTGGGGAGAATGGCAGGTTGGGGAGAATGGCAGGTTGGGGAGAATGGCAGGTTGGGGAGAATGGCAGGTTGGGGAGAATGGCAGGTTGGGGAGAATGGCAGGTTGGGGAGAATGGCAGGTTGGGGAGAATGGCAGGTTGGGGAGAATGGCAGGTTGGGGAGAATGACAGGTTGGGGAGAATGGCAGGTTGGGGAGAATGGCAGGTTGGGGAGAATGACAGGTTGGGGAGAATGACAGGTTGGGGAGAATGGCAGGTTGGGGAGAATGACAGGTTGGGGTTGGTCACGTGTGCTGCTGTTATCAACTCAAAAGGGGTATGTGATCACCCCACGCACGCATCACCCCACGCACGCATCACCCCACTCACATGTGATTGGCCCTAAATCCTAAACCATGAACCCTAATCCCCGCTCATGTGTCATCAGCTCACTAACGTGCCACCATCCCACTCCCGTGTCACAACCCTAAACCTTAAGGCCCACTCACGTGTCATCCCACTCACGTGCCATTAACCCTAAACCCTGAACCCGAAACCCCACTCACGTGCCACCAACTCTAAATCCTGAACCCTAAGCGCCTCTCACGTGTCATCCCACTCACGTGTCATCCCACTCACGTGTCATCCCACTCACGTGTCATCCAGAGCCAGCACTTCATCGTTGGCGGCACTGACGAGCAGCTTGGGCATGGTGAGGCGCTCCCTGTAGTAGTATGGGTCCGTGTCCTCCTGCAGTCAGCCAGCCAAGGGGTGATGTGGGCAGCAAGGGGTGATGTGGGCAGCAAGGGGTGATGTGGGCAGCAAGGGGTGATGTGGGCAGCAAGGGGTGATGTGGGCAGCAAGGGGTGATGTGGGCAGCAAGGGGTGATGTGGGCAGCAAGGGGTGATGTGGGCAGCAAGGGGTGATGTGGGCAGCAAGGGGTGATGTGGGCAGCAAGGGGTGATGTGGGCAGCAAGGGGTGATGTGGGCAGCAAGGGGTGATGTGGGCAGCAAGGGGTGATGTGGGCAGCAAGGGGTGATGTGGGCAGCAAGGGGTGATGTGGGCAGCAAGGGGTGATGTGGGCAGCAAGGGGTGATGTGGGCAGCAAGGGGTGATGTGGGCAGCAAGGGGTGATGTGGGCAGCAAGGGGTGATGTGGGCAGCAAGGGGTGATGTGGGCAGCAAGGGGTGATGTGGGCAGCAAGGGGTGATGTGGGCAGCAAGGGGTGATGTGGGCAGCAAGGGGTGATGCCCTCTGGTGCCACCTCTGGTGCCACCTCTGCCACCCTTGGTGCCACCTCTGCCACATTTAGAGTCACTTATGCCACCATCGGTGCCACCCATGCCACCTTTAGTACCACAAATACCACCTTCGGTGCCACCCATGCCACTTTTAGTACCACAAATACGACCTTCGGTGCCACCCATGCCACCTTTAGAACCACAAATACCACCTTCGGTGCCACCCATGCCACCTTTAGTACCACAAATACCACCTTCGGTGCCACCCATGCCACCTTTAGTACCACAAATACCACTTCGGTGCCACCCATGCCACCTTTAGAACCAAAATTACGACCTTCGGTGCCACCCATGCCACCTTTAGTACCACAAATACCACCTTCGGTGCCACCCGTGCCACCTTTAGTACCACAAATACCACCTTCGGTGCCACCCATGCCACCTTTAGTACCACAAATACCACCTTCGGTGCCACCCATGCCACCTTTAGAACCACAAATACCACTTCGGTGCCACCCATGCCACCTTTAGAACCACAAATACGACCTTCGGTGCCACCCATGCCACCTTTAGTACCACAAATACCACCTTCGGTGCCACCCATGCCACCTTTAGTACCACAAATACCACCTTCGGTGCCACCCATGCCACCTTTAGTACCACAAATACCACCTTCGGTGCCACCCATGCCACCTTTAGAACCACAAATACCACCTTCGGTGCCACCCATGCCACCTTTAGTACCACAAATACCACCTTCGGTGCCACCCATGCCACCTTTAGTACCACAAATACCACCTGCAGTGCCACCCATGCCACCTTTAGTACCACAAATACCACCTTCGGTGCCACCCATGCCACCTTTAGTACCACAAATACCACCTTCGGTGCCACCCATGCCACCTTTAGTACCACAAATACCACCTTCGGTGCCACCCATGCCACCTTTAGTACCACAAATACCACCTTCGGTGCCACCCATGCCACCTTTAGTACCACAAATACCACCTTCAGTGCCACCCATGCCACCTTTAGTACCACAAATACCACCTTCGGTGCCACCCATGCCACCTTTAGTACCACAAATACCACCTTCGGTGCCACCCATGCCACCTTTAGTACCACAAATACCACCTTCGGTGCCACCCATGCCACCTTTAGAACCACAAATACCACCTTCGGTGCCACCCATGCCACCTTTAGAACCACAAATACGACCTTCGGTGCCACCCATGCCACCTTTAGTACCACAAATACCACCTTCGGTGCCACCCATGCCACCTTTAGTACCACAAATACCACCTTCGGTGCCACCCATGCCACCTTTAGTACCACAAATACCACCTTCGGTGCCACCCATGCCACCTTTAGAACCACAAATACCACCTTCGGTGCCACCCATGCCACCTTTAGTACCACAAATACCACCTTCGGTGCCACCCATGCCACCTTTAGTACCACAAATACCACCTTCAGTGCCACCCATGCCACCTTTAGTACCACAAATACCACCTTCGGTGCCACCCATGCCACCTTTAGTACCACAAATACCACCTTCGGTGCCACCCATGCCACCTTTAGTACCACAAATACCACCTTCGGTGCCACCCATGCCAGCTTTAGTACCACAAATACCACCTTCGGTGCCACCCATGCCACCTTTAGTACCACAAATACCACCTTCGGTGCCAACCGTGCCACCTTTGGTGCTGCCTATGTCACTTTTGCTGCCACCCATGCCACCTTGGTGCCACCTATGCCACCTTGGTGCCACCTATGCCACCTTGGTGCCACCTATGCCACCTTGGTGCCACCTATGCCACCTTGGTGCCACCTATGCCCCACCTCTCTCTCGCTCACTCCCACCCGGTGCTTACAGTGAGCCTCTGGAACTGGGGCGATTGCAGCTGTTCGGTGACGTTGAAGATGGCGTAGAACTTGAGGATGACCGGCCACGCGCCCAGCGAGTCGTGCAGGTGCTGGAAGTTGCGCCCAAAGTCCAGCAGGTCAAAGCCGTACGCCACTATGCCCACCACCCTCTGCAGTGGGAAGACAAAACACGGGGGAAAGAAAGTGGAAAAAAAAAAAAACGCACAGCGATGCGCGCATGCATGGATGGTTAAATGAATGAAACGAGAAAACATATATATATCCCAGGCTGGGTTGAGACGTGTCACTGGGAGACAAGCAAGAGTGCACTGCAAACCATCATCACCATTCCTCTTGATGTTCCCTTGCTGCACACCACTGCTGCGATGGTAGATGCCATGCAATGGTAGACCGTGTGATGCCATGCAATGGTAGACCATGTGATGCCATGCAGGTGGGTCCAACAGGCATGCCCGCCCTTCTCACTTTATCCATAGCGGCCGTCAGCCATGCCATGAGTCCTCTCTTGCTCACTCCCATGACCACAAAGCCTTCCACCTGTCCCATGCCATCCCACACACCCCATGCCACCCCGTTCCACAGTACCCATCCCACACATCCCATGCAAAGAACCGCAGAACACTCAGCACATGCTACACACCACATGCCACAGGCATCCAATGCCGCACCACGCACCACCACATCACATTCCATGTTTGATACATGCCACATCAGAACCGAGAGGTGTAAAGTGTATGTACAATCTAACTAACCAGAGCATACGCACAGTCCAGGCAGCTCGTGACTAGTCAGTGACTGTAACACATTGCACTGACTGGCACGTCACAAGTGGCAGTGACCAGAGCAGCAGTGACCGGCAGCAAGCAGAGCAGCAGTAACCGGCAGCAAGCAGAGCAGCAGTGACCGGCAGCAGGCAATCAGAGCGGCAGTGACTGACCGGGAGGTGCGGAAAGATCTCTCTGGAGGCGAGCTGCAGCGCATCCATTCCCCTCACGATGGACTTGGCCATGGGCACTGAGAGCTGCCACTCTATCTCATCTGAATGCTTCAACGCCATTGCAAAGGAGACTGGAATAGGGGAGCATACATGCATGGATGGATGGATGGATGGATGGATGGATGGATGGATGGATGGATGGATGGATGGATGGATGGATGGATGGATGGATGGATGGATGGATGGATGGATGGATGGATGGATGGATGGATGGATGGATGGATGGATGGATGGATGGATGGATGGATGGATGGATGGATGGATGGACGGACGGACAGACGGACGGACGGATGGACGGACGGACGGATGGACGGACGGATGGATGGATGAACGTGAGATTTTATTGAATAATGCATGCATGGATGATAAAATCCTCAACATCTTGTGCGCTCACACGTGTAAAAGCATAAGCACGGCGGGCTGGTTAACATGCAATCCCCACATGCCCTCTCTTGAGTCTTGAACACATATGCAATCGCTTGGACTCACCCACACACCATCGCCGCACTCACTCACGCTATCACCGCACTCACTCACTCACACGCCATCAGCTCGTCTTCTTCCAAATCTTTGAAATTGCCTGGCCCGTTAGGCCCCACATAGAAAGACATCGGCTCCATTGGCTGCTGATGCAGCACTGCTCCCAGCATCCCCAGCTCCACTACCAGACTGCCACGTGGCATGCCATGTCATGGACAACACACAAGAGCACCAAATATGGGGACAGGCAGGTGACGGGTGAGGCAATGGTGCTTTTCTGACTGACGGGCGTTATAGCACTTGGAAGGTAGGAACTACCAGCTCCAGTGCTACGATGCCACGCGGCACGCACTGAATGGCATGTAAGAGCGCCAGGAAGAGCGCAGCACAGGACCAACTAGGGATGAGCAAATGGCGAACACGAACATGTTCGTGTTCGCCTGGGCTCGAACATGGCCGTTCGGCGAACCGAACAGTGTTCGGTTCGCCGAACACTTTACACCAGAAAGGGTGTTCGAAGTTCGCCAAGAGAGGCGAACATTTCGAACGTTTTGGCGAACACGAACACGTTCGCCCAGAACATGTTCGCGTTCGCCTTAAAGGACCTTAGATTCAAGTAGAGTGAAATCCAAATGTTTCACATTCCCTCCCCCCACCCCCCAAGCCAGTCCCGCCCTGCTTCATCCATACTAGTGCCAGCGTGTGACGGCGAAAGGCTAGATCTGCACTTAAGCAACGGCGAAATGCTAGATCTACGCTTAAAACCGGGGTGCACATTCAGCTGAATGTGCATCAAAGGTTATCCCTTGACTGAGTGGGTTACGAGGTGTGCTTTCAACCCCTTCAAGTCGAAATTCGTTTCCCCCCTCCCCCGCAATTTCGTTTCCCCACGCCCCCGCAATTTCATTTCCCCCTCCCCGTCGAAATTCGTTTCCCCCCTCCCCCGCAATTTTGTTTCCCCCCTCCCCCGCAATTTCGTTTCCCCCCCCTCCCGCCAATCTGTTTCATCCCTCCCGCCATTCGGTTTCACCCACTCCCGCCATTTCACCCCCTCCCGCCACCTACGAAATGCCCGAAGCTCTAGCGGAATCATTTTTTTGTCGCCCCTCGTGAGCCAATCACTGTTTTTCTCCAAACCCCCTTCCCAACATCTCAAGCCGAACCGCGTTGAATGTGCACCCTGGTTTTAAGCAACGGCGAAATGCTAGATCTGAGCTTAAGCAACGGCGAAATGCTTGATCCGCACTTAAGCAACGGCGAAATGCTAGATCTATACTTAAGCAACGGCGAAATGCCTTGATCCGCACTTAAGCAACGGCGAAATGCCTTGATCCGCACTTAAGCAGCGGCGAAATGCCTTGATCTGAGCCCAAACACCAAGGCCCGCGACCTAAAAATTGGTCGCGGGCCTATTCGTCGACGAACACCAATGTGTTCGTCGAAGGCCCGTGTCGAACACGAACACGTTCGTGTTCGACGCGCCTCGGCCAGCTGAGCCGGGCGAACGGCGAACGTGTTCGGGCGAACACCGAACACGTTCGCCCCGAACAATTTAGGCCAAAAAAAAATCCTGTTCGGTTTGCCTCATATTGCTCATCCCTAGGACCAACTCAACAAACACCCCTGGCCGGATATGCCTGCATTGCTGCCCTAACCATTGCTTACTCCCCCATGACATTCTATGCACCATTCCGTGGCCAGGCCGCATCCCTGCCACTCCGCCTGATCACACCAAGACCTTCCAGGGTCCACCGTGCATGCACACTAAAAAATGCTTCAGGTATAGCGGCAGCAGCAGCAGCAGCAGCAGCAGCAGCAGCAGCAGCAGCAGCAGCAGCAGCAGCAGCAGCAGCAGCAGCAGCAGCAGCAGCAGCAGCAGCAGCAGCAGCAGCAGCAGCAGCAGCAACAGCAACAGCAGCAGCAGCAACAGCAGCAACAGAAGCAACAGCAGCAGCACGGGGCAAAGGCAGCACGTACGGGGCAAAGGCAGCACGTACGGGGCAAAGGCAGCACGTACGGGGCAAAGGCAGCACGTACGGGGCAAAGGCAGCACGTACGGGGCGAAGGCAGCACGTATGGGGCAAAGGCAGCACGTACGGGGCAAAGGCAGCACGTACGGGGCGAAGGCAGCACGTACGGGGCAAAGGCAGCACGTACGGCGCAAACGCAGCGGTAAACATCTCGTCCTTGTCAGGCACGTGGTGGAAGTAGAACTGCGACCACCCCGACCCGATCACAAACAGCACCAGCCCCTTGTGTGCGTTGTGCATGTCGTCCGGCGCCTGTGTGGAGGAGTGCATTGCGGTTGAGAGGGGTGTGAAAAATGGAGTGTTAAGTTGACCCGATCACAAACAGCACGAGCCCCTTGTGTGCGTTGTGCATGTCGTCCGGCGCCTGTGTGGAGTGGAGGAGAGCATGGAGTTGAGAGGGGGGTGCAACAGTGAGCGGAGTGGAGGAGTGTTGAGTAGAGTCCACCCCGACCCACCCGATGACAAAAAGCACGAGCCCCCTTTGTGCGCGTTGTGTGCATGTCGTCAGGCGCCTGTGGGAACGGTGCACGACAAAAGGGGGAGACAACAGGAAAGTTAATAATAACTCCTTGAATAAAGACAGGCAATCAAGAGAAGGTGGTGGTGGGTGCCCTGGCCAAAGCAATCATACCCTAGTTACAAATCCACGTCTGACGCTTACAAAAGCGTTCCCACAGGCTCATCTCATATTACACTCACCTTCCACGATCTCAATCAGTTACCATGTTACCGTCGCAGCACTGCGTCTTACAATTACGGTCATCCAATGCCACCATTGGATGCGGTTCGTAACGGTCCTGTTGAACCAGCGGTGTGTGGTAACCCGCAGAATGTAACCCGTCCACCACCCCTTGGGGGCCTTGTCTCGCATGCGATTGGCCGAGTCCTCCCACCTGCTCCAACCCACGGCCCCATTCATCCGCGTTAATAACCGTTTCATTACACGTAGACGCGTACGCAAATGCAGCAAGAGAAATACTTTTGAGGAGATTTGCTGTATCGCATTAGCTAGTGAAGCAGGAAACACTTCGCTTAGAACCGTTTCAAGAGTTCAAGTTCACCTCTATTAAGCACAATATCCCCGATATAAGCTCACCAGAATTCTGAAGGATCCTGATCAGCATAAATGTATCGATCCAGTCGCTTCTCGCGGCAGTTCCTCGCAATTTCGCAACCACTCTGCGGGAAAGCGGAGGGAGGTGACGCAGGGCCCTTGGGGAGGAACGACGGCCAGAATGGCCGCACGAATCCTGGCGATAGGAGAAATGCGACAGCGGAAATGGACGCGACGATTGCGACGGCTGCGACGACAGAAGCTGCTTTTTGCGACCCAATCAAGTAGAAGCGCGTTAGCCAACGACTAATGAGCGACCTGTGCGGGCGAACCATGGCGGCTCACGACGATTACCGGACAGACGTTTACTATACTAGGTACTTGAAATTAGAAAAGGCATCTGTCACGGCGGTGTATCCGGCACAAGAGAATTTTGCTCAAATCCTCGGAAGCGCGGTTTGTTTTATTTTCGCCACGTGGCAAGCCTTCGATCGCGAGAACCGCCATCTGTTTTATTGTTACCACAAAGTTCAAGTGAGATTTAGTTAAGTTCTGTACCGCGCTGCCCGCAGGCAAAAATAAAACCCATTTGGGCATGGCATGTGTTAGGGAGGCATCAACCCTAAACACCTTGCCTCTAGGTGTTTAGGGTTGATGCATCCCTAACGCATGTTTTTCCTATAGGGGTTTTATTTTTGCCCGCGGGCAGGGCAGTACAAGTGACTCACTAAGCTTTACTATATTTCTCTTAAAAAAATGTGGGAACAATAAAACAGATCGCGGTTCTCGCGATCGAAGGCATGCCACGTGGCGAAAATAAAACGAACCTCGATTCCGCGGGATTGAGCAAAACTCTCCCGGCACAAGCATCTCACCGGCGGTGTAAATGCGCTGCGTGTTTGGTGGTATTATGACTCCTCCTGAGCTCGGATCGGTGCAGTGGGTTTCAAACGGTTATTTGAACGAGTGGTTTGAACTTATAAATGTTCGCCCGCGCCTTAGCTCATAGTTGTACTCATTTTCCAACTTGGTGCTTGCACTTGTAATGAATTGTAATTCATTACTGTATCCAGATAATTCATTTATGGAGTACAATAAGAGGGCCACGCGCCAGATGGTTCGGCCTACATTTTCGCAATCGAACCATTCCCGAGTCGCTCCCGCTCCAATCGCGCGACCTCGCCTAGCTAGGAAACTATTTATAAATTCTCTTCACTTCTCTTGTATCTTCACTCTTTAGTTCAGTATTATTGATATTGATTATTTTGCGTGCAAGTTCATTCATAACACCTGGTATCAGAGCTTCTTTCCTACCCTACCCCGCTTTTTAGAGTGTAATATCCATTGGGGGGGATGGACGTGGAAGGATGTCTTGGGGTCCAGGTGTCAGAGTTATATGACATAGCTACTGTAGGCTATAGTGGGGTAGCACATATGGGGTACAGTTGCCTAGGGTTTGCCTTTTGTACCCAACTTTCACTTAGTCATTTCATTCCTGTTTTCTTGATTCACATGGTATAGAGCGGGTTCCTACATGGGACCGTTCCTTCCTAAGGGCCCACCATAAGAATTTTTTTTTTTTTTTTAGCTGCCCGCGCACATTGCGCCCTGCCCTAATTTTTTTTTTTAGCGGCCCCTACGCTGCCCCTACGCGGCCCCTACGCCGCCTCCCACGCGCCCCCTATGCGGCCCCTGGCGGCGCCCTGACGAGGCCCCTGCCGGCGCCCTATCGCGGCCCCTGACGCGCCCCCTGGTGGCGCCCTGACGCGGCCTGACGCGGCCCCTGGCGGCGCCCTAACGCGGCCCTGCCGTGGCCCCTGACGCGGCCCTGACGCGGCCTGCCGCGGCCCCTGCCGCGGCCCTGAAGCGGCCCCTGACGCGGCCCTGACACGGCTCTGCCGCGGCCCTGACGCGGCCCTGCCGCGGCCCCTGGCGGCGCCCTGACGCGGCCCCTGACGCGGCGCCCTGACGCGGCCCCTGCCGCGGCCCTGACGCGGCCTTGCCGCGGCCCCTGACGCGGCCCTGACGCGGCCTGCTGCGGCCCCTGCCGCGGCCCTAAAGCGGCCCTGCCGCGGCCCCTGACGCGGCCCTGACGCGGCCTACTGCGGCCCCTGCCGCGGCCCTGAAGCGGCCCCTGACGCGGCCCTGACGCGGCTCTGCCGCGGCCCTGACGCGGCCCTGACGCGGCCCCTGCCGCGGCCCCTGGCGGCGCCCTGACGCGGCCCCTGACGCGGCGCCCTGACGCGGCCCTGCCGCGGCCCCTGACGCGGCCCCTGCCGCGGCCCCTGACGCGGCCCCTGACGCGGCCCCTGTCGCGGCCCCTGACGCGGCCCCGCCACCTACCTTTCCGGCCACGCCGCCTCCTCTCAGCGGCCCCGCCGCCTCCTCCCAGCGGCCCCGGACGCCGCCCTCTCAGCGGCCCCGCCGAGCCGCCCAGCAGCCTAGCCGCCCAGCAGCTGAGCCACCGAGCCGCCCAGCAGCCGAGCCGCCGAGCCGCCTAGCAGCCGAGCCGCCCAGCAGCAGAGCCGCCGAGCCGCCCAGCAGCCGAGCCGCTGAGCCGCCCAGCCGCCGAGCCGCCCAGCAGCCGAGCCGCCCAGCAGCCGAGTCGCCGAGCCGCCCTGCAGCCGAGCCGCCCGAGCCGCCCTGTCCGGTAAGAGCAGCGCCTCTCTCACAGCACTGCCCTCACCCCACTGTTTGCGCTGCTAGTCTACTGCTGTCATGGCTACCCCTAGTGTCCTCGCTTTTGACGCTGAGGGTCGGGCCATTGACTTTGACGTCTGGATAGATGACCTGCAGCTTTTCTTACAGTGCGATAGGGCAGACGGCCTCTCCCTCTTTGACCTCACTTCTGGTGCCTCTCCTGCCCCCGCCACTGATGCTGACGCAACTGTTCGCTCCCAGTGGGCCACGCGCGATGCTGCTGCACGTCTTGCTGTGCGTCGCCACCTGCCTACCTCTGAGCGTGCGCACTTTAGCCAGTACAAGAGTGCTCAGACCTTGTACGACGCTGTAGTTGCACGCTACTCCTCCCCTGCCACTGCTGCACTGAGTCGCCTCATGCTACCGTACCTCTTCCCTGACCTTGCTGCCTTTCCCACAGTCGCTGACCTCATTACGCACCTACGCACTAGTGACACTCGCTACCGCGCTGCGCTTCCTGCTGAGTTCTGCGCCAAGAACCCCCCCCCCATGTACATCACCCTCTACTACATAGTCACCCGGCTCCCTGACTCCCTTCGCGTAGTCAGGGACCACTTCCTCTCAGTTTGCCCCACCACTCTCACCGTTGACCTCCTCGAGAAGTCCCTCCTAGCAGCAGAGAAGAGCATAGTAGCTGTAGGAGCCTCTCGTGGTGACCCTCGCACCCCCATCTTTGAGGGGTGTTCCCCCTCCCCCCTTTTGCCCTCTGTTGCCTCTGCTGCTGCGGCCGACCTCGTTGGGCTTGAGTCGGTCGGTGCGGCGTCTACCCCTAGCGGGAGACGCCGCCCTGGCAAGGGCAAGGGGGGCAGGGGCCCTGGAGGAGCTAGCGGGGGCGGTGGAGGCGGCAGTGGAGGCGGTGGAGGAGGTGGGGGTGGCGGTGGGGGTGGTGGCGGGGGTGGAGGTGTCGGTGGCGGCAGTGGAGGCGGAGGCGGCAGCGGCAGTGGCGGAGGGAGCGGAGGTGGCGGCGGTGGAGGAGGAGGCGGCGGAGGAGGTGGAGCTGGTCGGGGTGGCGCTGCGCAGAGGGTCGGCTCCGGTGGTGGTCAGCGCCAGCAGCAGCAGCAGCACCAGCAGCGCACTCGTGACATCCCCTCCCCTCAGCAGCTCCGTGAGTGGTACACTGCACGCCAGAGGGGTGGGGGTACTGGTCCGTGCACCTACGTCCTCCGCACCGGCGACCGCGCGGGTGAGCAGTGCGGGGGTGCGCACTCCACCCAGCGCTCCTTTGGCCGCCTGACGGACGCTTGGCGTCACCAGTTCCCTGAGGCCACTGAGATCCCCCGCTGGGGTGAGCTGTCTAGGGCGGGTGTGGCTGTCTTTGACCTTGACTTTGATGCTATTCTTGCTGCCATGTATACTGTGACTATTAGTGATGAGGGTGACTGTTACCGGTGTTTTCCGCCCGACCCGGGCATTGAGACTGCTGCTCTAGGTACTGGTGAGGCTGCTGCTCTAGGTGCTAGCGAGGCTGCTGCTCTAGGTGCGTCTGCTCCCTCAGGTGCTGGTGAGTCTGCTCTCTCAGGTTCTGCGTCGGCTTCGGCCTCCCACACCTTCACCCTTGACTCGGGGGCTTCTCGCTCCTTCTTTCGAGACCGCACCACACTCACGCCGCTTAGCCGGCCAGTTGCAGTCTCTCTGGCAGACCCCTCTGGGGGTCCTGTCCTTGCTCACTTCTCCACTGTCCTCCCGTGTCCGGCGGCCCCCTCTGGCACCCTGTCTGGTCTTTACCTTCCCTCGTTCTCTACGAACTTGGTGAGTGGTGCTGACCTATAGGATGCGGGGGTTCACCAGTTCACTCCTGCGAGTCGGCGGGTGACCCACTGCACGGACGCTCGGACAGGCCGACACCTGGCCACGTTTACCCGTCGGCCGGGGTCGAGCCTGTACACCCTGACCACTGCGTCTCCTCCAGTCACTGCGTCTGGTCAGGTAGCTGTGTCCGGTCAGGTGTTTGCTGCAGCGTCCAGGTCTGGTCCTGAGTCTGCCCCCTGTTCGTGTCGCCTCCTGTCTCACGAGACTCTCCTCTGGCACCACCGCCTTGGTCACCCCTCCCTGCTTCGTCTCCGAAGCATGGCCTCCCGTGTCCTTGTCTCTGGTCTTCCCCGGTCCCTCCCTCCCCTTCCTCCGGGGCCTGGCCCTACC